GCAAAGCCTCCGTCGAACCCTAACTCACCAAAGTCCTCCTCCTCCGGGACTCCTACTCTGAACCCTAACTCACCACCAACTCTTCCCGGTGCTCCTCTTCAGGCAAAGCCTCCGTCGAACCCTAGCTCACCACCAACTCCACTGTCATCTCCCCCACCGACTCCTCTGTCATCTCCCCAAGGAACTCCGAACCCGGTTCCCAATGCTCTGATTGCTTCCGGAACTCCGAACCCGGTTCCCAATGCTCCGATTGCTTCCGGAACTCTGAACCCGGTTCTCAATGCTTCGATTGCTTCCGGAACTCCGAACCCGGTTCCCAATGCTCTCAATGCGCCTCCTGTCCCTACGGGTCTCACGACGAGGTTCTCTACCAATGCCCAATTTAAATCGTTCATGGTGAAAGTCAACCTCCTCTTGTACAACACTTTGACCATCTTAATGGTCGTTTATGCTCGGAAGGAGAAGGCCGAGAAGGAAACCACCGCTGAATCTGCCGTGATGTACATCGCTTGGCTCATGTACTTGGAGTTTGGGGTATTGGATGCCTGGAACAGAGCAATGAATCCAGGTGATAGGGTCTACGGAGAGATATCTATTCTTTCAGGTTTAATACTGATTTGGTCTCTCCTAGATATCCTCGTAGGTGATGATAGTTATTTGATTTGGGTATATTGTGGAACTGGTGGTCTCTCAACCTCTCCTTACATTCTTCCTCACGTTTCTCGATTCATTAATGCAATTATGGATTGGTTTGCGAATTGCTCTCCGAATGGGGTTGTGAATTGGCTTTTCCCTTTGATTGGGATTTAGGAATGGTTAGTTTGCTTTTTGTTTTGTAATAATCTACTTTTAGATGGCTTGTGTGTTTGTAATGTCTTTTGTAATCCGCTTTGTTTTGTAATAATGTCGCTTGTGTTAATGTCTTTTGTAATATCTATCATTCTGGGAGATGCGTTCCCAACAGGCGAAAAGATGCGTTCCGAACAAGCCAAAAGAAATATAGGTTCTAACAGCCGAGGTTCTCAACAATTTTATAATAAGTTAGTTTAGAACTCACTAATTATTTTTARAATTTTGTGTACTCCATTAGTTATAACGCCAAAGGGGTTCTCAAGAATATATAAGAAAATATTATTTTTATAAAATTTGAAAACATACAACATTTTATCAAATCTAGATTATATTAGCTACAAAGCGCAAAATCAGCTACAAAGCGCAAAATCTTCTTCTTAAGTTTTTGAAATATCAAAACATAAATCAACACATGTACACACTCATGTATAGCAAAGAAAGATATAGCAGACTTGCCAACTCCAAGGGGTCTCATGTAAGCATGTTGAGTGTACACCTGTGACTTGTCCACGATCCTGTAAGCAAGAAAGAAATTCATTAGCAGCAACTTGAGTTGAATACTTTTAWYAAAAGATAGACARATCACTAAGAAGYTARGAAACAACTTAAAAAAGATGGGATACAAGAGACGACCAACTATACCATTTAGCAAGAATGTCCACATGCATCTCGTATCCATAACTAAATCGAAATTCAGTTGCTTCATTCCTCGCTTGTTGGACCAAAGACCTTGCATCAGCTGAGACTTTACGTTTTCAATTTACCATCTAGAGTAATATGCACAAGAAATTATGAAGTGGATCTCTAAACTCTTGAGTTTGTCATAGACCAACCTGTAATCCCAGTGGCTAACAATCCAATGTACTTATGGATTAAACATCTCTAATCTCTCTAAACTATTCCACAAATTCATAAAACCATGTTTTTCTTCTTCCTAATCAAGATTCTAAAGGAACTATATAAGAATAATTGCTCTCAAGATGTCAAAATAGTCTGAATGATTCGTGTGTTATTAAACAAAAGAGAACGCTGGCTTTATAAAGAAGCCTTACAACTAACAAAAGAAACTTCAGGAACATAAAACGAAAACAGATTTTACTCTAAACTACTTATTCAAACTTCCTAAGACGATGTTTGA